TGCATTTGCCCTCTGTGAAACATGGCTCTCTTCAGAAATTGATCTCCCTTTTTATGATTTTAACATTATTCGATTGGATCGTGAGGATTCACGTGGAGGAGGGGTACTTTTGGGGATCAAAAAGTGCCATTCCTTCTATAGAGTGAATCTTCCCGAATTCCCCGGTATTGAAGTTGTCGCATGTCAGGCTACCATTAAAGGTAAGAGCCTTTGTATTGCCTCTGTATATATTGCTCCTAGAGTCTCTGTTAATCGCAAACAACTTTTCGACATATGTGCGGTACTTCCTGCTCCATGGTTGGTCATGGGAGATATTAACTCCCACGGTACAGGCTGGGGGGAGCTGTACGATGATAACCGTTCTACTTTGATTTATGATCTCTGCGACAACTTCAACATGACAACACTTAACAATGGAGAAGTAACACGTTTGGCTGGTCCATCCTCGAATGGTAGCAGATTAGACCTCACCTTTTGCTCCAATTCACTATCGTTGGATTGCACTTGACATGTAATCCAGGATCTGCACGGTAGTGATCATTTGCCGATCAAAATTTCGATTGCCAGTGGGTTCAACTCGTCAGAATCCGTTAACGTCGCGTATGATCTAACCCGTAACATCGATTGGACTAAGTTCCAATCCACGATAGACGATACAGTATCGTCAGTGGAAGAGCTTCTGCCGTTGGAGGAATATAATTTCCTCTCTAATCTCATCGTCGACAGCGCACTTCAAGCTCAAACACGACCGGTGCCGCGATCGTCAATCCGTAAGAAAACACCATCGCTCTGGTGGGATCAACAATGCACGGAGGTTTACCGTAAAAAGTCCGACGCGTTTAAACTTTTTCGGAAACGCGGAACACGCGAGCATTTCGATGCATACACATTTCTTGAACGCGAACTCAAGAGCCTCATCAAGGCCAAAAAACGAGGTTACTGGCGGCAGTTTGTAGACGGATTGTCGCGCGAAACGTCTATGAATACGCTTTGGAGTACGGCGCGAAGAATGCGTAACCGGTCTACTAACAACGAAAGCGAGGAATGCTTGGATCAATGGATTCTTAAATTCGCGCGAAAAGTGTGTCCGGATTCCGTGCCGTCGCAGTTGATTCCTCGCGAAACCGCGAATTCGGTAGACGAAATCAGTCAGCCTTTTTCAATGGTGGAACTTTCACTCGCGCTCCTTTCGTGTGGTAATTCTGCCCCGGGATCTGATAGAATCAAGTTCAACTTGCTGAAAAACCTCCCAGACGTCGCTAAGAGGCGCATGTTGAACTTGTACAATCAGTTCTTGGAGCTCAATATTGTTCCCGACGATTGGAGACGAGTAAGGGTGATAGCCATTAAAAAGCCTGATAAACCCGCGTCGGATCACAATTCGTATCGGCCCATCGCGATGCTGTCGTGTATTCGGAAATTGATGGAGAAAATGATCCTTTTTCGCCTCGACAAATGGGTTGAGGCGAACCACCTTCTTTCAGATACTCAATTTGGTTTCCGTAGGGGTAAGGGAACGAACGACTGTCTCGCGTTGCTTTCCTCGGAAATTCAGTTGGCTTTTGCTAAGAAAGAGCAAATGGCTTCTGTGTTCTTGGATATCAAGGGGGCTTTTGATTCAGTATCCGTTGAAGTTCTTTCAGAGAAACTCCACGCTTGTGGATTGTCTCCATTAATGAATTATTTTTTGTACAATTTGCTGTCAGAAAAACATATGAGCTTTTCTCATGGAAACTCTACAGCTTTTCGATTTAGCTACATGGGTCTCCCCCAAGGCTCATGTTTAAGCCCCCTTTTGTACAATTTCTACGTTAGAGAAATTGATGTCTGTCTTAGTGACAATTGCACGTTGAGACAACTTGCAGATGACGGCGTAGTGTCTATCACAGGGCCAAAAGAGGTTGACCTGCAAGGACCCTTACAGGATACCTTGGACAATTTTTTTACTTGGGCTATTCAGCTAGGTATGGAATTCTCCACGGAGAAAACTGAGTTGGTCGTTTTTTCTAGGAAGCATAGCCCAGCACAACCGAAGCTTCAACTTTTGGGTAAACCGATCACTCATTCCATGTCTTTTAAATATCTCGGGGTCTGGTTCGATTCCAAATGCACCTGGAGATCCCACATTGAGTATCTGAGACGAAAATGCCAACTAAGGATCAATTTCCTTCGATCAATTACCGGAACGTGGTGGGGAGCTCATCCACAAGATCTTCTGACGTTGTACCGGACAACGATTTTATCGGTTCTAGAATATGGTAGTTTTTGTTTCCAGTCGGCAGCTAAAACGCACATCATCAAGCTGGAACGGATCCAGTATCGTTGTCTTCGTATCGCGTTAGGATGCATGCACTCGACTCATACTATGAGTCTCGAAGTGCTGGCGGGCATGTTGCCACTATCCGTCCGTTTTTCAGAGTTATCTCTGAGGCTCCTCACCCGTTGCGAAGTAATGAACCCACTGGTGATCGAAAACTTTGAGAAGCTTCTGGAGCTAAATCCTCAAACATGTTTTATGACTTTGTACTACCTATATTTAACACAGGATGTCAGCCCTTCAAGAAATATTCCCAATCGTGTAGTCTTCTTCGATTTCGGCAATTCAGTGAATTTTGATTTACCTATGACGCAGGAAATCCGCGGAATTCCAGAGCATCATCGTCCTATGATTGCTCCGTCATTATACGCAGCAAAGTATGGCCATGTTGATTCTGCAAGAACGTTTTTCACAGATGGATCTCTAATAGAGGAGTCCGCTGGTTTTGGTGTATTTAATGAATTTCATAGTGCCTCTCGAAAACTTGAAGCTCCTTGTTCTGTGTATGTGGCTGAACTGGCAGCAATTCACTACACTTTGGAAACTATTGCTTCACTTCTTCCGCACCACATCTTTATTTTTACGGATAGTCTCAGTTCTTTCGAGGCTATCCGTTCCATTAGGCCGATAAAGCACTTCTCGTATTTTCTCTTGAAAATACGAGAACTGCTTAGTGCTTTATCCGTGCGCTCTTTCATCATCACCTTCGCGTGGGTCCCTTCGCATTGCTCAATTTTGGGCAATGAGAAGGCGGATTCACTTGCAAAGGTGGGCGCTATGGAAGGCAACATTTATGATCGACAAATCGCCTATAGTGAATTTTTCTCTATTTATCGTCAGCAGTCGCTCGTTAGCTGGCAACATCAATGGACTGAAGGGAGCTTGGGACGATGGCTACATTCAATTATCCCTAAGGTGTCGAAGTTTGCATGGTTCAAAAGGTTGGACTTGGGTCGAGACTTCATACGCGTGATGTCTCGTCTCATGTCCAATCACTATTGTCTAAACGCTCACTTGTTCCGTGTGGGGTTGGGAGACAGCAATTTCTGTGAATGTGGACAAGGTTACCAGGACGCTGATCACATCCTTTGGTCTTGGGCGGAGTATCGTGGAGTCAGATCACATTTCTATGATTCCCTTCGGGCTCAAGGTAGACAACCTAATGTTCCAGTTCGGGATATTTTGGCTAGACGCGATCTGGAGTTTATGAAACTCATATATGTTTACTTTAAGGATATTAACCTTAGATTGTAAGTTTGATTAACCTTGTGTTTAGTTTGTATTTTGTACGTGTGGTTTTTTTTTTCAATGTTTGTTTTCAAGATGAATAGAAATAATTTCATGCTTTAGGATTAATTAAATAGTTGTATCGTAAACCACATTTCAAACCTCCTTCTTCCCTTTTTCCATCCAAAAAATTGTAAATCTCCACTAACCTCGAGACAACCGCGAGTACTCGGTCCAGTTCCTTTAACTTTAAATTTAAGACAGTAATAATGTATAACGCAAAGGATAACTCGGCTCTGTAAAGTTTATTCAATTGAGCCTGTACAAATAAAGTAATTATAAAAAAAAGACTAACTAAAACAAAGTTCAACGCATATAACGATATAACATTTTAGAAAAAAGTTAAAAAAATTAAGGGAAGGTGTTTTTTTATTGTTCTGATGCATTTTCTAAAGCAATGAAATTATACCCCGTTCACATTACAGCGTATATCACGTGATATACGGTGTCTTGCAATGAGCACTCATACATCTTGTTTTCACTGGAAATCCTATGTATGAGTGCTCATTTCAAGACAGCCTATATTACGTGATATAGACTGTAATGTGAACGGGGTATTAATTTCCATACCTATTATTTTAAAAGCTTTCAAAGTATAAGTGCGAAGCGGACCTAGATCTAAATTTTTTTGAAACAGGATTGCCAAAATAACTATTTATGGTCAGCCAAAAACAAAACACTAATGTGAAAGTTGGACCCAACTGTAAATTGCTCATATTTTGCACACGAACTTAAATTTTGAGTTAAAATAGTTGTCTTTGAAGGTGTCATCAATTAACGTATGCAACATGAAATTTATGAATTTGTTTTTCATAAAGTAGGCGTGTATTTTTAAGCATCTCGGGCGCATCTGTATAGTTCATTAGAAGTTTGCAAATACCGAGTGGAAAATGGTGTGTTCTATTGGAGTATTCTTAAAAAGAAAGTGTACCGTAAATAAGCGGCTTCGTAAACAGTTCGCTTCTCGACAATGCATTTTTATCAGGACCTTTACAAGCTTTGTTCTGGTGTTACGGAACTGAAAAGTGTTTGTGATGGCCATGCTAAGCAATATGGGTACCTGTATGCGACAATGCAACGGCAGCACCCATTAAATCTGCATACATTTATTCTTCGCAAGAGTTTGAAACCAATTTCTACACGGTTTTAGATGAGTACAATAAGTACTTGCCAAAATCATCGAAGATCGGAAAGTATGCGTGCAAACTTGTATGTTATTTTCACATGTTCATTCGAATTTGTTTATCCACAGAAGAATGCAAATGCTCTTTTCGCTTAGTGAAGAACATGAAAAAATGCGTTGAAGCGAAGTGTATTATGTATTCTCCTAACCCCAAAAAGGAGAACCCCTTATCACTAGATGTTTTGCAGAAAGTGCAAGATTTCTACAGTGAGGCAGATGTTAGCATGGAGCTGGCAGTGAAAAAAGAGTACAAAAGCGTGAGTGAGGCAGATAAACGAGTCTTAAAACAAAAGCGTTTGGTTCTTGCAAACCTGGGTGAGTTATGTATATGCTCTTTGGCGAGAGCAGCAGGCACGTATACAGTATGCGTGTGTGCTATTCACGAAAATTTTCAACTCAAGTTAACAGGAGCAAAGTTTTACCAAATCGATGTTGATGGAGATTAAATATTCGCTTCATGATTGTGCTACATTTCCCCGAATGTCCACACTTAGAAATTTTTACAGAAATCTGTAAAATTTTACCGAAATCTCAACAGCTGAAGTTCGGTAAACAGTTTCGCAGATTTCCTGTTATTTTTCACAAATATCTGTGAATTTTTTACAGATATCTGTAAATAATTACAGGAAAACTGTAAAATTGTTTACCGAACGTTCAGCTGTTGAGATTTCGGTAAAATTTTACAGAAATCTGTAAAATAATCTTAGTGTGATCGTTTCCCCGAATGTCACTTCCCCGAACTCCATTTCCCCGAACGCCATTTCCCCGAACACCCATTTCCCCGAATGCCGTTTCCCCGAATGTGCCATTTCCCCGAATGCCATATCTCCGAAAAAAAAAGTTAGTAAACAAATCCATATCAAATTATTATTTCTATCTCCCGCATATTGGGTAAATGTACTAATTTTTGTCCCTCATCTTTTGTACCTTTAACTGAAAAATATCTTAGTACAAGTTGCCGTAAGGTCCCATTTGGCGTAAAACTTGTAAGATCGATGGGGAATCCATAGAAAATAACCTTAAAAAAGTGCTCAGTTCTCAGTACTCAGTTCCAACAATATGGGATAAGGTTGAACCATTTGTGGTATTATATGTATATGTAGTTCTTTCCTATTAGGGTTGACAAATTGATAATATATTTTTAGATTATTTACCTTTCATTCATTCATATCGAAAAATTTGGCAAAATATCGTCGGTTTGACAAATTGGTTATAAATTTTAAGGAGATTTTGCCTTCTTTTATTTACGAGCAGTTGTTTCGAGAACTTTGGGAAAACATGTGAGATCGATGGTTTGACAAATTGGTAAAATATTTGTATTCCTACTTTTTTACATAAGCAGTTCTTTCGGGAAATTTAGCAAAACTTGTTTCGGAAATTATCGCAACCAAATTTCAACAGGTGACAGTAATAAACAGAAGTTATGGCGGTTTGTTTTGTACGCAGAAAACCGGAAAATGTTTATTTTATTAAATTGGAGCCTTTTTCTTGGTCCTTTAAAATATATATATATATATATATATATATATATATATATATATATATATATATATATATATATATATATCTCTACATATATAGTTATTTTTGTCCGGGTGAAAACGAGGGAATCGTTGGTAGCTATTTTTGCTTTCATGACCCAGAAAATGAACACAGCAAATAAATGCTAAATTAAAATTAACTATTGTTGGCTTAATAATAGAATATTGTTATTTTTACAATAGTTGCAATTGAAAAGTGGCGGATACAACCAAAAAGAATCCTATTTTGAATTTATATGAATAAGTATTATTGAAACAACAAAATGCAATATAATTTCAACCGGAATTGTTTGCTTAAATACAATTAAAGTTTTTTTTTGGTTCAATGCAAACAATTTTCTGTCCGTGTACTGCTTGCTGGTACTGCTGCTGTGCCTGCTTCTTTTTACTGGTTACTTCTGTTACCAAAACTTATGAAAAATTATGTAATTTTTTTGAGAAAAAAAAAATGAAGCGATATAATTTTACTTATGTCGGTTTTCGTTTTTGCGGTGTAGCTACACCGGTGCTACACTGCCGTACACCGAAATATTTTAGGGTGTAGACATAGGATGCACCTTTGTTTACAAACAAATGATGTTGAGCTGTCAAAGACTCGTGCTTATTCCTGCTTACACTACACCAGTGCTACACCGCAAAAACGAAAACGACATTAGAAAAAAAAAACGGATTTGAAAGAAAGGTTTTCTAATCTCGGTTGCAATTCTGTTTGTTACAAAAAGAAAACATAACATAAAAATAAATGCCAAATTATCATTGAATCAATAAAAATATTTTTATTCTTCCTGCGTGTATTGTCAGGCTTCATAAAATATATACGATTGAATCAAAAAGCAATCTCTTTTAAAACAAACATATTTTTGTTGTTGACCCAGCTGCCAAATTTGACATACACGCAGAAAAAAAATATTTTAAACGTACACGGTAAGAAAAAAGTACCCAACGGAAAGTTCACTTTACCTACTTTTGACTAGTTTGTCTCCTTTTCTCCTTCTACACGGACAGAATTTTTTTTGCATTGAACCAAACAAAACTTTAGTTGTATTTAAACAAACAATTCCGGTTGAAATTATATTGCATTCTGTTGTTTTAATAATACTTATTCATATAAATTCAAAATAGGATTCTTTTTGTTTTAATAAGCCACTTTTCAACTGCAACTTTTGTAAAATTAACAATATTCTATTATTAAGCCTACAATAGTTAATTTTAATTTAGCATTTATTTGCTGTGTCTATATATTCCCTGGCTCATGAATGCAAAAATAACTACCAACCATTCCCTCGTTTTCACCCGGACAAAAATGTAAAAAATGACAAAATTTCCGAAAATCTTGAGACTTGAGTATGCTGCAGTTCGAGCTGCAGTTGCTAAATATAATAAATTTTCTCTTTTCTTCCTTCATTTTTTTTTTCGTCGATCTTGTTTTCCGTACTGAGTACCAATACTCCCGACGCCAGAAAAGCAGCTCCCACACCTGGACCCTACATATCGACCCATCAACTAATGAACCAGGGATCAACGGCTTTACTTCCATTCCGAAGTATTATCAGTGAAAAAGAAAACAAAACATAAAAAAATAGCCATATTATTTTCGAACTGATTTGAGATTTGGGCGTAATTGCATTTGTAAACAAACACGGCAATCATCGATTTCTCGCGAATAAAAGCTCAATCTCGAAAAGTAATAACACTATAGTGTTATTACTTTTCGAGATTGAGCTTTTATTCGCGAGAAATCGGTGATCAATCTCAAAAAGTAATAACACTATAGTGTTTTTTTTTTTTTTCCTCTGTTCGGGACATAAAACCACTGCGACCAGTAATTTGATCTATTGTAGTATATCCCGTGTCCTTAGTTTAGTGCATGTCGTATTACTCCATCACTATTGAGAAATGATGAAGTATTCGGTTTTGATACAGTTGTCATTCTTGCCTTTATCGCAAGGAATCGATTCTAATTGAAAGGTCCCGCTATTTATACCCTTCGGAGTGTTGAAACACCCTCCAAAGGCGCGCCCCTTTGTCAGTCAAAATTGGATTCCTTAGCAAAAAAAACAAGACATGACACCGATAATGACCATGCATCAGAACCCTAGTCTTAACCACTTCAAACTAGGAAACAACGAATAGAAGATTAGGAATCACATAGGTGAAGACTAACTAACTCATTTTTTCCTTGTTTCAAGATCATCCTCGGTCCACGCAACCCGAGGACTTATCACTATCAACAAGGCATAAAAAGTAACAAGGACTAAGATGTGTTCCTTTGATTACTGTAAAATCCTGTTCCCCTAGTTTGAAGTAGTCAAGACTAGGAATCGGTGGTAGATCTTACATCCCGTAACGTACCACGAAAAGGTGATCTACCCACGTTACGGGGCGACACTATAGTGTTATTACTTTTCGAGATTGAGCTTTTATTCGCGAGAAATCGGTGATTGACGTGTTTGTTTACAAATGCAGTGACGCCCAAATCTCAAATCACTCGGGGTTTTTGAATCAATAAACATATTTTTATTTCTACTGCGTGAATTGTCAGACTTCATAAAATAAATATGATTGAATCATCAAGAAATCTCTTTTAAAAACAAACATATTTTTGTTGTTGACCCAGCTGCCAAATTTGACATTTTACGTCAAAACCATGAAAGCTGTTGTAAATTCGAAAAGATTTTCTTTTTGATTTAACAATCCATGGGTTTTGAGCAACAAAAATACTGGATAGTAGAAACAATAATGATTTCTTTTTGCAGCCAAAACAAAATGAAATTCTCATTGATTTTACTTCAAATATTATTACGTTTAAAATATTTTTTCTGCGTGTAATGTTGCCAAAAACGGAGGAGCAAAACCACCCAGCAGGGGTAGTAAAGTGTGGGAAGCCAACGTTGAGTATAATCATATTTACCTACTTTGGGTACAACTAACTTACTTTTGGTTAAAAAGCCAGTGGAAAATTCAATACGAACTGCACACAAGTAAATGAAAATTACTTTAACCAGCTTTACCTACTTTTGGGTTCCTGCACTATAGTGCCGAGATGAGTGAAAAGAACTTAATTTTGAGTACTTTTTCTAACCGTGTAAAAATATTTGACGTAAAATCAATAAGAATTTCATTTTGTTTTGGCTGCAAAAAGAAATCATTATTGTTTCAACAATCCAGTATTGTTGTTTCTTAAAACCCATGGATTGTTAAATCAAAAAGAAAATCTTTTCGAATTTACAAGAGCTTTCATGGTTTTGACGTAAGCTGTCAAATTTGGCAGCTGTGTCAACAACAACACTATGTTTGTTTTTAAAAGAGAAAAAAACAGAATAATTGATTATGTTTAGCAACTGCAGCTCGAACTGCAGCGTACTTACATACCTCAAGTCTCAAGATTTTCGGAAATCTTGCACTTATTTCCCGAAATTCACAATTAAAAACAATACTTACGTGGAACGCGGAAAAGAGCTGAATCAAACGAGAAAAGTTTTGTTATTGTTTACATTTTTGTCCGGGTGAAAACGAGGGAATGGTTGGTAGTTAATTTTGCATTCATGGCCCGGGGACACAGCAAATAAATGCTAGATTAAAATTAACTATTGTTGGCTTAATAATAGAATATTGTTATTTTTACAATAATTTCAGTTGAAAAGTGGCTTATTAAAACAAAAATAATCCTATTTTGAAATTATATGAATAAGTATTATTGAAACAACAAAATGCAATATAATTTCAACCGGAATTGTTTGTTTAAATACAACTAAAGTTTTTTTTTTGTTCAAT